TGCCCTGCCCTGCCCTGCCCCGTAGGGGTCCAATGTTACCCCGAGACTTCTTCTTGCTACCTATATACTTGAAGAAGGACTTCTTGTTATCCTTAATCCCAGAAGCTAATCTAAGCTCCAGTGCTGCTTTAGCCTCCCTTACCAAATCCCTACAAGCTCATTTTGAACCATTAGCTCCTTTCCTTGTTTGAACATCTATTTCAAACACTGCGCTATGGAGGAAATGGGGATTGGCTGTATTGATGGAAAATCACTGCCACTGGAATCACTGGTTTATCACTTTTTCCCTAGCTGTTTTTCTGATGAAGAAAAGAAGAGCAGTGGGGGCCAGGGAATGATGTGATCTGGTCCACATGAAACTAGCTACATGAAACAGCTGATGCTAGTGCTGGTATTGATGGTCTTGGAGATCAGCTAATGAATTATTCCTCTGTGGTGATATAGTCTTTTGGTGGCATAATTCACAGTTTTTACGCGGTACAGTTAATTTATGGCTTATTTCTTATGCAAGGCCTAAAGAGGGTGGTACACCAGTTCCAGAAATGGTGTGTTTATGCTATGTGCTCTTACAGAATTGGATAGTGCTGCTGGATACCAATACCTTTCTAAGGAGTTTGCCAAGAAAAGTAATTTGGAAAATAAATGGCAAGGTTATTAGCATTTGTGGGGGGGAGCGGGGTTTCAAAGTTGATAGAATTTTTAAAAAGTGAATCAAGAGTTTAGTTTCTTGGAGAGATGCATCAATTGCTTTATTTATGCTTTGAATGGACAGTTAGTCAAGTGACACTTGCTAGTTTCAGCAGCCATGAGGGTCAGTTTCAGAAGCGTAAGTGATGGCATAGAGCAGTGGTTCTCAACCTTTTTGGACATGAGGCACCCCTCTCTAACTTTTGTCAAATATTAAAAAACTGGTTGGTTTTATGTATTGTAGCGCTTAGTTACTACTTTATGGTGGGGCTGGGCTGTAAGGGTTGGGGATCATGCAGGCAAGGACAAGCCTGTGCTTGACTTATCTGCTTATCTCCTTACACCTCAGGGCACCCTACAAAGGATCTGGCAGCACCCCAGGGTATCTTAGCACCTTAGCTGAATTGCTAGCATAGAGTAATCCTCCATGCTTTTGGAAGTGCCATTTAGGCAATCCATTCTATCTTAGGTCCTCCTTAACTCAGTTAATCATTAATGCTAGAAAATACCTGTCTAAAGTGTTGATTATAGCTGGTGTATAAAAAGTATGAAGTGTTAACTTAAAACCAAACAGAATACCCCTCCTCCCCCCACACACATACTAGGCTGTCTAAATAGTAGAAGTGCGTCAAAATAAAACATAATTAGAGTTGATTTAAAAAAAATCTGAGTGAAATAAAATTCATCTTTTAAAATTGCAAGGCTGATTACCTTACTTTAAGTGGTATTTGAGCTTGCAAAGCTGTTGAGCATGTGCGGTACATACTGCCTGTGGTTAGATTTGTGAAACCTTTATGCATTTGAACTTTAGGATGATTCATATGTCTAAATGTGGATATTATAGGATGAACTTTTGGGCACCCAGGTGTGAAAATTTTTGCTGTCGTCTTTCCTCTTCTGCTACTCTTTAGTTTAAACTCCCTTCCAGAAAAAAAGTTTAGTTATACATGTGAAGGCAACAATGGAGACGTTTGATTGCATACGTAATTAAAATATATGGTAATACATTCTCAGAAATACAAAATGGGTTGGAGGATGACCAAGCACAATGTATATGTGGAGTTACATTGCAGAAGCCTAGTTAAAATTTGTAAATTGTTCTCAATGTATAGAAAGTTTTTTTGGAGGTAGAGGACAGACAGTAGTTTTCCATGACACATGGGAGTGAAGGATTTTCCTCCCCCCTCTAAAATAAAACAAAAGTATGCCAGCAAGAAGGAAATGAGTCAGAACTGAGGAGAGTAAGAAGGGAAACCACCCCACCCCATTGGCCGATGTAAGGTCATGATCATCAGTGGTATGATTTTCTGTGTAACTTTTAAACATTCTTAAGTGTTTGAAGCATTTATTGGATTCATATTTTGTTGGCTTGAGGATTAAATTCATCCCTAACTTTGGTACAAGACACTGGTAGCAGCAGAGGAATCAGTCTAGCAGTTTAGCTGAAAAAAGACAATATTCTGCTGTGGGACAGTGGGGAATGAGGAGGAAGAGTATAAGGGGAAAGGACCTCTACAATTGTTTGGGAAAGCAGATGGGGAGGTTCTAGTGCCCATTCTGCAAGTAAAGTAGTAGTGATGGGAAGAAACAGTATGTATCATTTCTTGCTCATAGTAATTCAAAGTACAGTTGCTTTTTACAAATTAGGCAGGCAGCATTGTTTGGAAGTAACGTAATCTCTGAAGAGATCTTTCTATAGAAAGGATTGGGAGCAGACTTTCCCTCAAAAATAAATGTTCACTTAAATGTGACCCACAGAGAGGAGAAATTCCATTTGTGTCCTTTTGATGAATAAAGGTGTGAAATAATTTTAGTTCTTTTCCTCATAGTTGTTCATTCACAGGAATTATGACACTGGAAGAGACTGAGAATTTAGTAGTACAGAGCCAGATTTTCAAGAGTGCTTTTTTGGTAGAAATTTTTAAAAGGAGATTAACTTGCTCTTTATTTCTGGGACAAAGCACTGGTATAGTTGCTCCCTAGCGGAGGGCAGGCACCAAGCCTGGAGGTGCTGCAATACCCAGTCAATGCATGGAGTGAAATAAGCTCTGAATCATTCTCCCAGCTCCAAAAATTCATTTAATATTGAAGTTATTTCATCAAGGATGTATCCATTTAAAATCTGTTCTTATCAGTTTAATAATGTTATTAGAGAATGTTAAAAATAATAGTTAATTACATACCCTTGTACAATTGGAAGAGAATGTAGGATCCTGCAAATAGTAGCTACATAATATATAATTGATATATGTTGACAACAATCTAAGACATGTAGTTAGTCATGCAGCCTACCTTAGCTTTGGGTATAGGGGCTTAAGAAGTTCTAACGCCGTGATCTTAAAACTCATTAACATTCAGTGCTTACACCTCTAGTGAATTAAAATCACGATACATGGTTAGGGTAAACTTAAGACTAATACAACCAACATAATTTTAAACATGGCAGTCCTTGCTTGTATTGAGAACTAGCCTATCTTTAACTTCACGTTTTAAGTATTTTCTGCTGTAGACAAGCTCAGCTGCACCTAAATCAAAGTGATGATAGGTACTAGGTGCTGAGCTGAATACTGCTTAAAGTTGGGCTGCTTCGATAACTGTGCATCAGTCTCCCACTCTACCCTTCATAGCTGTATATATATGTTGTTAGGTGAGTTCTAATCCTTCAGCCCACATGTGCTGTATTAATGGCAGCCAAGGTCTACTGTGGCATGTTCCACTGGTGTAGGTATTGGTTTGTCTGCCTTTAAAGATTTGTACTGTTTCAACTGCATTGATTAGTCACTGATGTGAATGTTAGTTCCAAAAAACCTCAGAAGTGTCTAAGTAGGACCTGACTTCTTTTGAAAACTTGCTCCTGACTTTTTTATGCTTTTTGACTTTTTAAAACTCTTATTTTTCCTGGTTAATACAATGTTAGTTAAGTATGACAGTATTTTAATTGTTTTTCCAGTTGAGATATAGCTATTAAAACTAAATGCTTAATAGCTCCACAGTCTTGTAACTAGCTGGAAGACAGAACTCTGTTTTAGAAAATCAGCATTCTGTCTTTTCAGGAAGAAGCTAAAGTTAGACATATGAGTTAAATTTTCCAGCAACATGAGAGAAGATCAGCTTTCTTACTTATAAGAAAATCAGGGTGAGGGGGAGCTTCTTTTTAAAAATATTTTCAGCCTGTTGGTGATGAATTAGCAAAAAAGATGAACAAGCTCTGTTTATGAACAGAAATACTGTACATCCTTTGAGTCACCTAAAATTGGATAAATAAAACAGGAGATGTGAGGTCATGAGAGAGAACTTGAGAAAAGTTCAGAAGATGAAGGTAAAAGTTTGGTTCTGAGGCAGTGGAAGTAGATGACTGTAGCTGGAGAGAAAATCATTTAGTTTTCTAAAACTTATACTGAAATAGAAAAGGATGTTGATTTAAAAGAAAATGAGTTAGCATTAAACATTTGCTTGCTTGTACCCTCCTCCTACCCCCTGGCCACCCCTTAATATAAAAAGTTTTTGGAATAACCTTTTAATGGTAATCACTTAGTTAATTCAATATTACATCTGGTATTTATCAAAATAGTTGCTGCTTGAAAATGGTTTGGAAAGCTATACAGATGTAAGGGGTGTGTTTAAGGATAGTATTTAGCTAAATCACTCTTCTAAAATAATTTCAGAATCGTTCAGATTTTCAGTGTCAGCATCGGTGGCAGAAGGTCCTTAACCCGGAATTGATTAAAGGTCCCTGGACAAAAGAAGAGGATCAAAGGGTAATGGAAATGATATTATATTGTGCTCATTTATCTTTTTTTCCCTCTATTAAAAGCTGACTACCAAGAAGTTTGTATTTGTCTTCTCTCCATAAATACCATGGCTTGGGTATCAGCACCAGATAATATATGCAAACTAATAACACTGGAATTTTCATATGGAATGTCTCCCTGAGTTTTTAAATTCCCCTTGCTCATTTGTTAGTTGAACAGATTTCCTTTGCTTTCTGAATAGACAAGACATCTGTTCTGAAGATCATAGGCCAGAATCAGGCCTGTCTTAAATTTTGTCTCTCTCTCAAACTGGAATAAGGGTGGGTTTGAAGAAAATGGGTTCTGCTGTCATGTATAAGGTATGTGAAAAGCTTTAAAAAGTTTGGGGGTTTGTGGTAGGAGGATTTAGGCTTGGTTGTTCTGTCCGTCTTGCTAGAAACTGGAGCAAAACTTGGGATGCTTGACATGACATATACCAAATATCTGAAATCTGAACATAAGTGATGCTTCTAAATTCAGATTGCTTGTTTAAATGTTTTTGTTAACATAAACTGCTTTTAAAAACTATTTGATCTCTGAATAGAGTTTGACTTGCATGGTATCTAACACCCAGGGTATTCAACCCAGCCTGTGGACCATATCCACCTCCTGGAGCTGTCATCTGGCCCACGGAGCTTCCCATGGGTCTGAAAATTTGGTGGTGAGGGAATGGTGGCAGCATGAATTGTCACTCCCCTACTGACAAATTTCTGGACCAGGAGGGAGCTTGGTGGGCTACACTGGGTGTGCAAGGCCAAAAAGTTGAACACTACTGACATAGTATGATACATCTCAACTTTTACTGGCCCAGAGCCAGCAATATTGAGCAAGAATTCTCAGCGAAGCTTATTGACCTGAAAATAGGACCTGACTTACGAGACTCTACTACTTCCTGTTTTGGAGCCAGCCTAGTGCAAGGTGTCTCAGCATAGCACTGCTTTGTGCCTTCTACTTGCACCCTAACTTCGCCAGAATATATTTTTCTAGGGTTAGGGTTTCTTTATAATGTAATCAGTCTCCTCCAATTTGAGAAAAAAGAATTAATTAAAACATTCTGAAGCCTGGAACTTTTACAAAATGACTTATGAAACTGAGTCACATCTGGTTGTCTCTGTGAACCTGTTGTGTATGAGAGCATTTATTTGAAAATTTCTTTTGTTGGGGTGTATTCACGGAGAAGAATGTAAATCTTTTTTTTTCCAGCAGACTTTTCAAATACTGTCATGATTTGATTTGTCACAGGTTATTGAATTGGTTCAGAAGTATGGTCCAAAACGCTGGTCTTTAATTGCAAAACACCTGAAAGGAAGAATAGGCAAGCAATGCAGGGAGAGATGGCATAATCATCTCAATCCTGAGGTAAAGAAATCTTCATGGACAGAAGAAGAAGACAGAATAATTTATGAAGCTCACAAGCGCTTGGGAAACCGGTGGGCTGAAATTGCTAAGCTTCTCCCTGGAAGGTGCTTTTTAACTTTCTTTTTCTCATTAGCACTTGAAATTCAGTCCTTATGGAGTTCTTTCCAAAATCTATGTACTTTAGAAAGCTATGTAATTTAGTCTAAATGTGAACCATTTTGAAGTGTGCCGACATTTGAAAATTTTGCTTGAAAACTCCCTTCCCCCAGTGAAGCTTAGCTCTTCCCATTAGCGATTTCTTATAGTTAACTAATGCAACTAATGAGAAGGGTGCTAAAACCACAGCACATTAGCAGTTTGTGATACAAGCTTTAAATGAGTTATTAGTTAGGTATATTTATCCAATAAATAAGATACTTAGGCCACTCCAGGGCAAAAGTATTGCCAGGCTATGGTATGCCTATTTTTATATTTTAAAGAGATCATTAAATATTATGGAGAAATATATACTGGTATTTTTTGAGTATCAATACATTTAAAAAAAACCAAAAAAACCTAAACAAATGTAAATGGTAAATCTCACTAGTACTCTAATATTATAAAAAATGAGGCTCTGTTTCTTATCTGGCATCTCATTTTTATAACCTTTTCCCCATAGTGTACCTAATCTTCAATACATTCTGAACATCTTGTTTGTATTAGTTATAAATTATTTGCCCAGATAACCAGCTTCAGTTGAACTATTGGTATAAGTGCTCAACAGTGTAAGTAATGGACTCACTAACTGTTCATTTCTATTATATGTCCTGAAATGTAGTCTAAAAGCCCACTTAATTCTTATGTTATTCTTACTCTAAGACTACTCTTGACTTCATTGATGCTATTTGAGCTAGGTGACACAGCATGAGTAACAACAAAAAGATCTAGCATAAATGTACTATAATTAGATGAGAACTCCTGATATATTTTTGTGTGATTGTAGTTTTTCTATTTTTTTAAATGTCTTACGTTATAGGACAGGGGTTGGTGATCATTTTTTGAGGGCGTGGGGAGCCCTTTGTGACTCAGTGCTCACTGAAGGCTGCAAATCTTCACCTCCCTAGCATGACCAGCTGCCTACACTTACCCTTACTGCTGTTCTCTAATCCCTCTGCAGTAAGTGTAAGTGTAGATGTGGTGGAGCCAGCAGGCTTTGCAGTGCAGGGGAGCACTGGGAAGGGGATGGGCAGCACAGTGCAGTTTCATGAGATTGATTTAATAGATTTCATAGATATTAGGGCTGGAAGGGACCTCATAAGATCATCAGGTCCA